AGTTGCTCTGCCCCGGGCTTCCTGGAATCAGCTGCTGATCAGTTTCAGCAGCAGCTGACTTGGGGATGCCTGGGGTTCTTAAGTTGATTCTGTATGTAAGTCAGAACTGGCGGTCAGTTTCAGCAGTGTCTGAATCTGGACGCCAGTTCCGACTTACATACAGATTCAACTTAAGAACAAACCTACAGTCCCTATCTTGTACGTAACGCGGGGACTGCCTGTATTGTAGGGGAGATATGTATTGTTGCGAGGGAAGGGGGGGGTCACGGTATTGCCACTTTTGGCACTACTTTCAGAGATGGATGGCGGCAGCTGTTTATTGGATGCCCAGCTCTAAAGGCAGCAGTGCCCTCAGCAGCAGTGTAGAAATAAGGGTAGCAATACTGCAACCCCCCCTACAACAATATTGCGACCCTCTCCCTCTGCCATCCCATGTTTGGACCCAGATCCTACAGTTACAACCCCAGAAAACTTCAGATTTAAATAGCTGAAATAATGAAATTTGTAATTTAAAAAATCCTATGGCCATGAAATTGACCAAAATGGACTCCTAGTTATGGAGCTACCATGTCTCAAGAAAGATCTTGCATTGTCATGAAAAACAACAACAACATGAAAGAAGTAAACAAATAAAAAGTATAAATCTATTATAGTGGATTAGTTGATAAAATGATCTTAATCTCTCTCTTTTACAAGGTTAAACAAAAGGCAGCCGCCTCTAGACTCCAAAGAGAATACATTTTTAACAAGAAATCCGGGGAAAAAAGATAGCTCATATTTTGATTTTTCAGTAAAACACTGAAAAAGTTCTGAAGACTAGAAATTAAACCCTGTTACCATAAGCAAAGCACTATACTGTTTTATCATCTTTCATTCCCTTTTAACCATTTGCATTTGGTGAAAGTAAATTCTAAGATGTTCAAAATGTATAACATAATTTTGCTAAAAACATAAAGCTCTTGATTTTCAGGAAGAGAGTCTCACAACAGTTGCTACAAAAAGTGTTTAAAGAGAAAAACGTCTGCTAAAACAAGACAATAAACAAGTAAAAATATAGCCATGAAAATATAAATGTCAATAGGAAACTACTACTTACAGATTTTTAACATCTACAGCCCCACGGAAGGCCTTCCTTGGAATGGCTTGAATTTGATTTTCACTGAGGTCACTACAAAAAGAAAGATGAAATGGAACTTAACAGTTGTTGTACATATTTTATCTGTATGAAACAACTTTTGTAAGGGAATACCATGTAAGAAAAGGATTTCAAAATTAATCCTGATTGCTATAATTCAGTCTACACTCTTTATGAAAGATATTTTATTACAGCAACTGACTTGTAATTAACAAAGAAGAAATCAGATTTATCATACTTCTTGAGCAGCATAGCAATAAAAATACCCATATATATATATATATATATATTCCATATAATATGCAACAAAATTATATATTTGTAAACAGATGTGGCCAAATTGATTTTGTTTAATTCTGAATCCACTTAAACACAGAGTTCAAAAGTTTGACTGAAAATTATTGTGTTACATTCCACCAAAAGAAATGAGATGAGGGATGACAGAGAGGAAAACAACCTGGTAAATAAGGAGATACCTCATTGGATCAGACCTGCGCTCCATGTAGACCTGTGTTCTATATGAGATAGTGGCCAGCACCAGATGATTCAGAAAAAAGTGCAGACAATTGGGAGATGCCCCTGCATTAGATCTGATCCTTATCTGTAATAACTGGAGATTGGCTTAAACCCTGAAGAATGATATTTAAGATTCCTTGAAAAATTGTGTTAGCATTTACTGTATCCATTTAAATAGCCAATCCCTTTTAGAATCTTGCAAAATCCTATGCTTCAACAACTTCCTGTTAAAATGAATTCTACAAAACCAGAGTAAAATGAAATAAAGAGCTGAGAGAGAAAGACAGAGAATGAGACTGGATAAATAGATGGACAGAGAGGAGGAAGAAAAATACGAGTGACACAAATAGTTAATTATATGTAAATAGCCTAGCTTTTGAAAGTTATTTTTTTCCTTCTTATAACCTGTAGCACAAGCTCAGGCTTCCCATGACAGAAAACAGAGATGAGGAATTCAAACTAGATTTGAGAACCCTCAAAACAGCACAAGGAATTCACAAAACCTCACACTCTGTAACATTTGTCCATTTCCAGATTTTAAACTACTACAAGGTTTATATTCATATAATTTGTTTTGAAAAACAATATATACATGTTACATATACAGATGGAGACTCTGGACAATATATATGCTACAACCATTTTTGGTTAGTTTTCTACATAGTGTTTATATTCTGAATAAATAAAGCCAGTCTCCACCACCCATTGGTCAACTTCTCCCACAAGCATCTTTGTGCTTCCTACTACACCATCCCTCACATATGGAATATCCTTTTTGAGCTAACCCACAGATTCACCTCCCGATGCTGTACCAAATCCCTCTTCCAGATGCATTTCTGCTGTGATATCTACAGTAAATTGCTTAATAAAAACAGCTAAATGGTTGGCCGGGACTTGCAGTAATTATTTCATTTATGTGTTATGTATCATTTATAATTAATAAAACAAAACAAAAACCATCTAGCTGTAAGACTAATTGCCCTGAGTAAATACATCTTACTGTTCTTTTCTTTTTCATCTCTCCTTTTTTTTTTTTTTAACTGTTACACTTACTTCTACATCGTTTTTTAAAATTTATACATTGGAAAATGGGGCCAATAAATCAGCAATGAGAAAGATGGGTGGGATTAATGGGTTTCTACTAGTCCTCTTGTATGGGTTTAAAATTACACACTAGTTGCCATTTAAAAGCTAACATGTACTTATATTTACTACACAGCGGTACAAGAAGTAACTGTTTAGACCAGTATCAGTATAACTACATTGGTCAGGGACATGAAAAACCTACATCCCTGAGTGGTCTAGTTACATTGACATAACTACTGCCTCTGAAGGAGGTGAAATATGCTGATGGAAGAAGCTCTCCTGTTGGTATAGTAGTATGTTTACTAAAGAGCTAGAGCAGCGGAACTGACAAGCCCTTACTTATGGCAGAATAAGTAATTAATTGTGTAACTTTGGTTGACTTTTTAATGTAGACTATTCCACCTCTCCTGGGTCACTGCGATGATTGCTTACTATAAGGTAGGTTGCAATCAGTGATGGTTGGGTTACACTATAGATTACAAGAGAATCAGGGGGCTCTGTGTCCTTGGCCAATATTTTCCATTCCTGTACAGCATGCAGTCTAACAGGTCATTGCTCGCTCTTGCCTGTTACATAGGGGAGGCAGCATTTGTTATGCTATATGTACTTTACACATAGTGGCTGTGTCTAGACTGGCAATTTTTTCCGCAAAATCAGATGATTTTGCGGAAAAACTTGCCAGCTGTCTACACTGGCCGCTTGAATTTCCGGAAAAGCACCGACGATCTCCTGTAAAATCATTAGTGCTTTTCCGGAAATACTATGCTGCTCCCGTTCGGGCAAAAGTCTTTTTCAGAAAGATTTTTGCGCGAAAAGGCCAGTGTGGACAGCATAGTACTGTTTTCCAAAAAAAAGCCCCGATTGCGAAAATGGCGATCAGGGCTTTTTTGCGGAAAACCGCGTCTAGATTGGCCACCGATGCTTTTCCGCAAAAAGTGCTTTTGCGGAAAAGCATCCTGCCAATCTAGATGTGCTTTTCCGTTAAAAGCATTTTCAGAAAATCATTCCAGTCTAGATGTAGCCAGTTAGTGTAGCTCGCTGGGATCCACTGGAATGAAAGGGGCTTGTGATGAGATGTACAAACCTCACTTTGGAAAGGAAGGAGTAAAAGAGTTACTTAAAAAGGTGATCAGAGTGGTTCACCGGCAGATAGAGATGAACTGACCTCCATGCTGAGCTCAAAAGAGTATCAGAGATGTTCTTGTTGTCATAGGCCTGGACACACCCACAAAGCAGGGACCTGTGACTCTCTGAAGATTAGATTTTATCTTTGTGTTTTTGTTCTTTGCTTTACCTTGTGGGAAGAGAGCAGACAGATAGGAATTGATCCAAAGAGACTGCCACATAATCCTGTGGGTGAAGGATATGGCTGCCTACCTAAGGGCTCTGCACTGGAACCCAGTGAGAAGGTGGGCCCAAGTTTCCCTATCAACACATAAACAAGGAGACTGCTATAAGCCGCTGATGCTCAGAATCTAGTGGGCGGGGGAAACACTGAAGATAAAAGGTCTGGCATGAGAGATCCTGCACAAGGAGGCCTTCTGCTTAATCCTGAGGACTCCCCCAATTGTTGGGCTCTTTATACATACCAACAAGACAGACTTGAACATGTGACTTGGCTGGAGGACAGAATTACTGGAAGGACAGACCAGCACTGGGCAGAGTATTAGTAGTAGTAAAGAGAGGTACCCTGGTGGAAGACAGACTGCCACTCTGCACCTGAAAAGCAGGTGTCACCATTGGTGAGCAAACCCCTTCATAGGGTTCCATAAAAATACAATAATATTAACTAGTAAAACACAGATAGCCATTTGGTTTCATAAGTGCAAGCCTGAACTTGGGAGAAGGGGCAATATTTGTCTCTGTTATCAATCTGGGCATTTTACAATAAAGGGGCACTCCCATGGAAATAAAATATTCTGCAGAAATATTATAGCTCCATAACTTACACAAAAGACAGAGTGTCTATGTAACAGTATTATCAAGTCAAAGATGAATGAGTGAATGAAACAAGTAGAGAAATTAAATGAAATAATTTTATACAATTAGTTTCATTCCAACACAGGAAATTGCAGTACATTGTTTGCCAGAGGGTGCAATGAAACAATATTCAAACCCTTTAAATTCAGCTGATGTATAGCAAATTCTGTTTACCCCAGGAGCCTCTTACAACTAATTTTTTTTTCATAATTCTGTTTAGCAATTTGTACAGAGTGGGTATAATCCAAATTAATAAGGCACCTAATGAATTCTATAGGCAGGCTTTGACCCTTTTATAAGAGGTACTCAAGAAAGTGCAACTTTGTGGGTTTAATCTACCACAAACACTGGCTTGCACATGGCCTCCAGGAGTACCGATGTCTATCTAACCTGTTCTTAAATATCTCCAGAGAGGGAGATTCCACCACCTCCCTTGGCAATTTATTCCAATATTTGACCACCCTGACAGTTAGGAATTTTTTCCTAATGTCCAATCTAAACCTCCCCTGCTGCACTTTAAGCCCATTACTCCTTGTCCTGTCCTCAGAAACCAAGAGGAACAAATTTTCTCCTTCCTCCTTGTGACACCCTTTTAGATATTTGAAAACCGCTATCATGTCCCCCCTTAATCTTCTTTTTTCCAAACTAAACAAGCCCAGTTCATGAAGCCTGGCTTCATAGGTCATGTTCTCTAGACCTTTAATCATTCTTGTTGCTCTTCTCTGTACCCTTTCCAATTTCTCCACATCTTTCTTGAAATGTGGCGCCCAGAACTGGACACAGTACTCCAGCTGAGGCCTAACTAGTGCAGAGTAGAGCGGCAGAATGACTTCACGAGTTTTGCTTACAACACACCTGTTGATACAACCTAGAATCATATTTGCTTTTTTTGCAACAGCATCACACTGTTGACTCATATTCAACTTGTGGTCCACTATGACCCCTAGATCCCTTTCCGCCATGCTCCTTCCTAGACAGTCGCTTCCCATCTTGTATGTATGGAACTGATTGTTCCTTCCTAAGTGGAGCACTTTGCATTTCTCTTTATTAAACCTCATCCTGTTTACCTCTGACCATTTCTCTAACTTGCTAAGGTCATTTTGAATTATGTCCCTCTCCTCCAAAGAAGTTGCAACCCCACCCAGTTTGGTATCATCTGCAAACTTAATAAGCGTACTCTCTATCCCAATATCTACATCATTGATGAAGATATTGAACAGTACGGGTCCCAAAACAGACCCTTGCGGAACTCCACTTGTTATCCCTTTCCAGCAGGATTTAGAACCGTTAACAACAACTCTCTGACTACGGTTATCCAGCCAATTATGCACCCACCTTATCGTGGCCCTATCTAAGTTATATTTGCCTAGTTTATCAATAAGAATATCATGCGAGACCGTATCAAATGCCTTACTAAAGTCTAGGTATATGACATCCACCGCTTCTCCCTTATCCACAAGGCTCGTTATCTTATCA